TTGGCAATTGCCCTCCTCGTCCTGCGAATATGGAGTCCTGCCTCCTGCCCCCCGAGTCCTTCGTCCTTTGCCGTAGTTCCGAACGCGGGCTAACGTCAATCAAAGACGCGCCCTGTTAAATGCACTTGACTGCCACTTGACACAGCAAATGTTGCTGGCGTTGCTCCGGCGTCAAACAAAACATCTTGGCAAGCCAACTGCCAACACTTGACATTCGCCATGAATGCAGCGGAGATCGGCGGGAGGAGGAGGTGTCCGGGGGGCGGGGCGGTGCACTCGAAGAATTCTTCAAGGTTATACATGACTACTGCCTGAGGAGAGTAATATATAATAAGAATTTTAGGGACATTTAATGTCTCTCTTCCACTTAGAATAAATCGATAGTAGATAGAATAAATAATAAATTACATTGTTATCAAAGAACTCTTTTCACAGGATTATTACATTACTTTCCTTACTTGTTGAGACTAAAAATCAGATGATGGTAACCAAAATACTAAAATTTATATTGTATAGTATATATATATCTTATAATGTTACATTATCTACAAAAAGTATTATTTTACTTAGGGATACCCAATAAAATAGGCCAATTTTGACTTTGCTATTTTGGATCTATCAGCATTATTTGACTTTACATATATAGGTTATATATAATACTTCTATTAAATGGTAGTGATAAATGTTAAACTTGAGTTAGGGTTCCCTAGAAAAAAAGATCTCAATGCTGTTTTTGATTATTTACCATTATTTTATTTTACGTTTTATTTTAACGAGGATTTTTAAAGTATTAGTTTAAATGCTATAAACCTTCCCCCTATTACTTTTTAAATTTATAACATTTATTTCCAGTGTAAAAACGCACAAAACGCGGGCAGCTGTCGCAGATGGAAATGCAGATGCCGAGATGCGGTGGCTTATCACGCTGACACGAGTGCAGGGGCCGCTTCATAATGCAAGTGGCCAATGCTGCGTATACGCAATCTGCTGCAGTCAAGCCTTTTAAAGAGGGGGAGGTTGAGTGGGTGATGGGTGGATGGGTGGCCTTTCTGGCGTAGTGGCCTCTCAATCCGGAGTGTGGGTGCGTCTGTGACTTGTCTGTCTTCGCAGCCTGTTTGCATTCATTGCAGTCGTGCATTCAGGGTTATGAGCCCCAGCCAAGTTGCACAAGTTGCATAAGTTGCATGCAACCTGCGGGGAGATAGAGCACGTGCACTTCTTCCGCCCGCTTGTGTGCGTGTTCTTTCAGTTTATTTTTCCCCATATAAAGCGTCACTTTAGACACCTGTGTGTGTTTGCTAGCCGCTTTGTTGCCGACTTTTCGGCTTTAGTTGGCAGCAGGCGATCTGCTTAATTAGGCGCACCTGCCAGGGCAGCGGCAAATTAGTAGCAGCCAGGTTGAATGACCTTTGCCTTTGCCCGGCAAACCTAAAAAAAAGAGAAAATATTAATAAAAGAAAGCCGAGGAGCAGGGCAGCGGCAAGCAAACAATGCAACAGCGTTGGAAAACTGGCAAAAAAACGAAGAAAAATCAATTGCATAATGGCGCATGTGTTGCGCAGAACATCAGCAGTACAAATTTGCAACTCTTTTTCCATTTGCACGTTGCAAGACAAAAACAAGATGAAAAAAGTAAAAAATTCAACCACCACTTGAAGCAGCGATTTTTGCCTTATTTTTTGCAACTTTTCTTCTTTTTTTCGTTTTTTTTTTTGCAACTGTCGCAGACACACACACTGAAAGCAGGGGGGTGTAGACATGTGTGTGTGTGTGTGTGTTTGGCAGCTTTTGTTTGCACCCGCATAGGAAGCCATTTAAGTGCGGCTTCTTGAGAAAATTGCAGCCAGAGCGGATGGAGAAAGAGATGAGGCCCTTCGAGGACGTCACTAACGAGCAGCCAGCCACCTGCAACTGCTCCACCCCCCGAGCCACCCGAAAAGCCAGCCCAACCACCCCAACCACCACCCACACCACCCATAATTAACACAGGAGCCACAGCAACAGACACGGCAACGAGAGCTTAGCTCCCTTGTGGGGCCTATCATTTCCTAGGGAGACAAAACAAAAAATCAGGGAAAAAAAACCATAAACCCAAAGGGTTTCGGGTTTGGGTTTGGGCTTGGGTTGGATCGACGGTGGAAACCCGGTTGGTGCAAAAGCCTCTGGCTTGTTGGACGACTCAAGCGCCTTAATAGGCTTAGCAGCGAGTCAACTATCAAAACAAGACCGATAAAAGTTGAGCCCCAGCTCGAAGCCCCAGCCCCTCGGACCATCCTGATGTACGACGACTACTATATATGTGTATATCCATTCGCCCGAGTTTGCTGGGTGGAGGAAAAACTTTGCCTATATGATATGCTCTCATGCTCCAGATGACGAGGCCCGAAAGCTTTGTCAACGCATGCCACATGGAATATTCATCGGTTGGTTTTGAGGAGGTCTAGAGGGGGGGTGCTGAGGGGCGTAGGGGGCGTGCCACAGTTTATGGCACGTTTGTGCCGCAGCCAGCTCTCATTATGTGGCTGCCACCGCAAGTACGTGCCCCGGACAGCCCATAAGCAGGCCATGCCTCCGCCCTGGAATCTGATTCAGTCTGATTCGGATTCCCTCTCGGAGCCCGGATCCCGGATCCCAGCTCCATGACCGCCCCATCTTGAGGTCTTTGTTTTCTAATTTTCCTTTGATTACAGTTTTTTTTGTACCTCACATGAACCCTTTTATTATTTTTATAATTTCCAGCAGGGATTAAAATATTTTAAAACATTTAAGGATAAGTTTTTAAATGTCTGAGGAAATTATGACTTTGTTGTAGCCTCAAATATTGGTTTAAATATAAAATATACCAAACAAAAAGGTTTATATTTATATTGAAAGTTTGTATTAATGTGTAAAAAATACTTATATATTCAACAGAAATACTTAAAGTATTAATAACTTAAAAATTTTACATAGATCTTTAATATGTAAATGTATCAAAATGAATTTATACTAAACCAGACGAGCTGAAGGCCTATAGCTGCTATAGCTCATGACCACTGTTAGCATTTAGTTTACAATTACTTGTTAGCATTATATAAATAAATAAATAAATATTGCTGAAACCCCATTGCAATAAATATTAAACTATTTAATTTTAAATACGTTTCAAATGATGCAAATCAATTAAGGAGTTTTTAACATTCCTCTCCCTTTTCCTATGCCATTTCCCGAAAGGCCGTAATTAATCAGATTAGTCTGCATTGGTATCTATAGATCTGCATTATTAACACACCAAACCGGCGTAATTCGCTGATTAAACTACCGTGGGAGAGCTCTTTCCGAGTCTAGACCCACCCACCAAGGTCGGCAGGTGTGGCGCCACCCGCTCTTCGCATCGCATTCGTCTGCATCAGCAAATAGAAGCCCGCTCCACGAGAAAGTTCCTGCGAAATGTTGCTGATGACAGCAGCAATAGCAACCGGCACTTGCAACAGCAACATCAGCAGCAGTAGCAGCAGCAGCAGCAACTGCCGCTCCCGGATTTGTTTGCAGTCATTCGCATGTGTCATCAGCGGCCGAGATGATGAAGCACAAAATATGCCCAGGCTCGCTCGCAACTAAACTGACTGACTGCCAGTCTGGCTAAAAAAAAAGAAATTAAAATAAAAAATTGCACAAGCACACAGGCAAACAGACAAATGAGGACGCCAGCGGTGACATGATAGCCTGTGAGCGGCTGCCGACCATCCTGGCACACTGAGGAAAACTATGATCTCTAGCTTAGAATTTCTTAAGAACCTTGAACATAGATTTACCGCTAAATTCATTTAAAAAAATAAATATAATAATAATAATTTGTTTTTATTTCATTATGATTATCCTAAATGGGTGTATCCTTTGAATTTTTGATCTTCTGTTAAGGAGTGTTCCATTTGAATTGGGAAACAGTCAGATGACCTACCTAAATCTCGACTTTACTGTATTTATTTAAAAAAGTCCTGGTAACCTGGACATTATAAGGTTAACATGTCAAAACTCTCTTAATTTTTATATTTAATTAAAAATAAATCCATCGTGTCAATCAAAAATCAAGCAAATGACATAGGACCTTAAGGATAGGATATAAAAGTTTTTAACCTATCTTTGGAATTTCTGCATCTTTATATGGCTTAAGCAAAAATTTGATTATTGTGTTCTAATTTATCCCTATATTTTAGGAATGGTTTAAAAAAGGTGAGCAAATATTTTAGTTATTGATAAAGATTTTTTTGAGTGCATCGCAGCGTTGGTCTCTGCTGGCTGCTCTGCTGCTGCTGCTGCTTTTTCCGTTGCTGCTGCACGCGTTGCATTGGTGCTGCTGCTTTTGCTGCTGCTGCTTCTGCCGCTTGTTCTCTGCTATATTTAAATACGCTGCGGGTTGCAACGTCGGCTGGCGTGGCACTTCATTTGCTTCCACAACTCATTCATGCTTTGGAGCCCAGACGGCCTGTCAGAGCCGTCTAAGCCGGGGTAAACACTCGCCGAGCCCCTCATCCTGCCTCATCCTGCCTCACTCATGTGCCTCACCTACTTTCCGCTCTTGGTCTGAAGCCTCCGCTTCGGGGTGGCTGCAGCGAGAATAAAAAGAGAATGCATGGCTTGCAAAAAAAAAAAGAAATGTAAAAAAAATAATAAAAAAGTAAAATAAAAAAGCTGGGAAAAAACCTCCCTCCTGGGTATCGCTTACAACGGGGCACTTGCAACCAGCCAGCGACCCCCGGCTGCCCCTGTCCCCCATCCTCCCGTTATCCTCCCGTTAGCGTTAACGCCAGCGTTAATGTTCACGGCGCGGCCTTCCTCGAGGAGTTGAGTTCAGTTCTCAGTTCTCCACTCCGCTCCGCTCCGCTCTGCTCTACCCGATTCTCAATTCTCAATTCTCGATTCTCCGGCAGCGGCAGAGGCCGTGCGGCAGTGGCAGTGGCAAAAACCCAGGCCCAGGAGGCCGTGTTTCTGCCGATGGTGCCACAGTACGCTCGCGTGCTTTGCATACTTTGGTTGCGTTTTTTACTCCGCTCCCGGTTGCACAATTGCTCGGTTGCAGTTCGCCCTTTTTGCTAGTTGTTTTTGGACGTCTCGCAGAACGCCTTCCGCCATCGGATTCAGAATCAGCCGGGCAGCAAACTGCCGCTTCTCGCGTAATTTGCCCGCCATTTTGCACCATCGCGCGTTTCCGGTTGGCGACCCTACTTCCGGTTACCGTTTTCGCGCCCGTTTTTTGCCCAGCCATTGTCCTGCAGGCGAGCTGAAAAAACAAACGCAGGCTACGGCCGGGTTTTAAGGATCCGATGCCGTAAATCAAACGACCGGCAATTGTGCGTGAGTGATCGGGCAGGCTCTACACCGAGAGAAAATTGAATAAAAAAGCTTCGATCTGTAGGTTTTCATATATCTTACTTTGCTAATAATATCAAGTTCATAGCTAAACGCCAGGGAAAAAAAACTTGGTTATGACAGCATTTGAGGCCAATTTGAAAGACATAGTAACCATTTCCAAAATATTTTAGGGTTATTAATTGTTTAAAGTAGTATGCAGTAATTGACATTGTTACTTTTTTTCTTAAGTACATAAAAAAAATGGTATTGCTCATAATAAATATGATAGATATTGAAAATATGGAGTTGATATTAATAAATATTAATGATGTTTCTCGCACTTTTTCTTGCATATGTTTATAGAAGGCATTTAACCACTAACTTTGATTGTTTTTTCGATTTCACTTAAAACATTGGGAAAAAAGTTCATAAAAAATGAAATGCTTTAAATTTTATTTAAAATTAAGTAAAAACAAAAATGTTTAAAACTAGAAAAACAAACGTTTCTTAGGATTATAAAACAAGAAATCTAGGGGTCTTTTACTTATAAGACATCATTGATATTTAAAGAATCCATCAATTGTTTAGTTATGAAACTAAATTAGTTACATCTAGTTTTTGCTCCCTGTAGAGCTTGTCCTGCGGTCGAGTCCCCAACAAGTGGGCGGAATTGGGATTATGTCCTTGCGAGCACGGGGCAGTCGGCCAATCCCCGGCAAATGAAGTGCCGCAGCATTTGATTATAGAGCGACTCCTGAACCGCCCAAGTCGCGTGTGAGTGTGCGCGAGTGTTTGCATGTCTTGAGAGTTCCGAGCAGGAAGACCGGGCTCACCTATTGATTACGGCTCACAATGTAAGTAAATTGCGGAATTACGGGGTCGATTCGTTGATTACTCAATCAGCAGTCAATGGGTTTAACTGCCGGATTTCCGCCAGGTCGAGAAGGGAATTAAGTCTGGGGGAATTGCTAATCCTGGATGGAGGTTAATGCCCGGATTCATGTCAAATTCACGGTTGTGATTCGCTTGATTGCTTAAATGGGTTGTTAATATGACATTATGGCAAGGAATTTGGAGAAGTTCAGAATATTTAGCTGAATAAAAATCTTAACAAATTATTAATTATAAATTTTGTGGTTTATTTTTGAATTCAAATATTCCTTAAAATAAATAAATAAAAATATATGCTGTTAGCGTTATGCGTAAGTAGACCTCGGGTTTTGCATACAACACCGTTGTTTTTCATAAAATTAAGCTCTAATCTAATTGTGAATTTTTAATGTTTGAATTTTTAGAATACAAACTTATGAAAAAACCAAAATCCATTTATGAGTTTCCAGACTGCAGTTACTGCCATCTTTTAGCTGCCAATGAGCTCCTATTTAGACTAATTTCCCTTCGCTACATTGAAGTTTTCTTTAATTTGAAACATTTTGCTACTTACGACGTTCTAAGTAGCACAGTTTAAGTGATGCATTTTGCAAACTTTGAGAGCTTCTTGGTTTATCCCCAGCCGACTTCACTATTTGAATGGGTTTTAGTTTTGTGCCCATTTGTTTAGCATAGAAATACTTTGAGCTGAATGGAGCTTCGGCTAGCTGCAGGCTGTCTTCATCCTTTCAGCCGGGCTAAAACCACTCCTTTTTGGGCCATCTCCGACCACAATGAAACCGCAGCGAAGCCGAAAAAAAGAAGGAAAATATGAAAGATGAGAATGCAGCTCCAGTCGGGCATTCATGCATCTGCCATTCTATTCACACTCATTCATCTCGGGATGAGCCGGTCTTAAATTTGCATAACAAGCGACAAAAGTCCCACGAATCGTAATTATGTGCAAACAAACGGGGCAAATGAAATTTCAATTAAAAAACGAGTGCGAGCTGAGGACCAAAAAAAAAAAAAAAGTGAAATCGAAGCCGGCCATGGGTGGGGGTCTGCCCCCCCTTTTTTTTGTATGGCTTCCCGGCCACCGCAATACGCACTGTTTGCCTGGGAAAGGGAGCCATTCGAGCCGAGTTGAGTTGAGTTGCGTTGAGTTCAGTTGCGAGTCGAAGTGAATGCCGAGTGGCAAGTGCAGTGCCAGGTGCACTGACATTGGCACACGAACGAGGCTGCCCCCTGACCCCCTCGCAGCACCCCCTTTTCACCCATGGTGAACCCCCTTTCGAGTGACTGCCAGTGCAATTTTGTTGCCAACCTTGAGGACGTCGCTCTGCCGTCTGCTGAACGCCTGCTATTCCGGAGTCAAGGCTGCAAGGGGCGTCCGTGCAGAGGGGGTCCCGGCTCCATCTCGCTGTTCCCCGACGAACTCGGCAGTGGGTTGATTTCCCCTTCACACTGGGTGCCCCTGGTACTCAGGGGTATTCTGGTATCCATCAGATACGAGGCTGTTCATTTGTACCTCTGGTATCGATAAATTTGCAGAGTCAAGGATTACTTTTCATTTACCAGTTTAAGGGAGAAGCAAATATTTTTATCAAAAATTTAATGAACATAAGAAAAATAATACAAATTAATTAGATTTTTTTGGATCAAACCCAATTGTTGTCTATATTTTTGGGAGATATTCGTATAACTCGTGATTTTGCCATGAAGAAATTTGTAGAAACAAGGCTTACAATTTATTTACAAGCATAAAAGACAAACAAATATATATATATATATAAATAGAAACAAATATTTGTATCATAATTAAACGAATATTAATTAAAAATAATGTAAAAATCCTATGACTTAATATATTTAGTTCAAAAAAATAAAATATATCTTTTATCCATGGGAACCAAACGTTAGGAAACATATATTAGAGTTTCTAAAAAAAGGGACAATCACTTTTAAAATATTTAAAGAACTGGTTTTTCAAAATTAAATGATTAATACATTTTGTTTTCTTATGTACTTAATATTGTTATTAGTATATTAATATTATTATCATTACTTACCAAGTTGTACATAACTAATTGTACATTTCAAAGTGTGCTCGCTAGTCGAAATGCAGTGAAAGCATACTTTCTTGCTTCGAATTTTAGTTGTTTTTATTTTTCCCCCTTTTATTTTTTTGAGCCAACAATGTCAACATGGCAGTCAGCCAGAAAAGCTCCGGCTCTGCTTTTTCCACTTCCTGCCCCTCAACGTGGAAATAATCAGTGTGCGCCTTTTTGTGTGCATTGTTGCTGGCAGGGGGGTGTTAAGGGGGTGGCATGAGTTAAGGGGGCCGGTTGCAGCGCTCAGTTGCCATTGCAGTTAATTGAAAATACTAAATTTCCCCTGTCTAGACGGCAAATTATATGACAATTGTTAGAGCGCGCATGTTTGGCTTTCATATTAAAATTAATTACTCCGGCTGAAATTTTGCATTTTGCATAAAAATTTGTGTGAAAGCCATAAACAATGGGGCCATTGTCGTGCAGGTTTATGTGGTGTATTTATCTGGGCATGTGAGTGTTGTTTCTGTTTAATTTCAGCACAGTGGGCCCTGAAATGGGCAAAGGAGTTGCATTTAATCCCCTTGGAAAGTCTAGAGTTTCATAATTGGAGAGCTAAGGCGATAATCGATGGTGATAATTAGAGAAAGCGCGTTGCATTTGCGAATTTTCACACGGTTCAGGGGCCACAAACTGCTCATAATTATGCCAAAGGATGTCTCAGTTCAGGAAATTGCAAATTACAAACGGAAAACGTGGGCTGGCCGAACACCTTTGATCACAAATTTCACCTCACTGCACACAAACAATTATTTGGCACTTAATAAACAATGAAATTGAAAATTTAAGACGCTTATCGTAGTCAGTTTGCGGCATATGCAAATTTCTGTCCAGCTTTCATGTAATTACACTCGACCCGTAGCATCTTATATATGACATTTTCTCTATATATATATATATAGGAGAATATGCCTTATGTACGGACTGCCACTGACATTCATTAACCGAGGATTGCAACCTTTTTGGGCCGGAACGGGGTTTGTTCGGCTAGCTCGTAAATAAACTTTGGCAAGCTGTTTGCAACGGCTGCGTATGCAAAACATCTTCAAAATTGACTTTACTGATTTTGCCTTTTGCATTTTATTATGTGTTTATTATGCTAACAATGTGCCGAAAGTTTTCCGGGGGGCTGGGATGAGAGCAGGGGGCATGTGGTTAAATATTTGCAGCTGCAGCAGCTCAGAGGCGTCGGCAAGGGGGCTAGAAACAACTCTGCTAAGGCTCTTCATAACTGAATTACAGATTTGCAATTTTATCCTTAAGAAAGCTATCTTATACTCCAGTAAACTGAAATATTTAAATGAAAGAAAGCTACAGGCAACATAAAAAGTTCACTGAAGTACCTCACATTTCTTAAAGATTCACTGAAATCATAATTTAATCGGGTTTATTTTTCAATAAATTTTAAATAATTTTATATATTCATTTATAAAGGGATTGCTTTAAATAATAACGTTGGTAAAGCATTTTCAAATAAATTAAAAATGAATGTAATAAAATAGAACTTAAAGATATTTTCAAGGAACAACACTCAAGGGTAAGTTCAAATGAATTGACTGCCTCGTTTTGGTTTTCTTTGAAGCCTCGCCCCTTTTGCTTCCCTTATCAATTCATATCTTAAATCATTTCAATATTAAAATAGCTCTGAATTGCCTGGGCTATCGGATTCCTCCTGCTCAAGTTCCGTCCTGACCCTTCCAGCAATCTGGGGCCTTTCATCTGCTAAAAGCCTCATCACTTTCATCCCCTCGGCCGGAGGTCACTCATACGCCCCATTGTCCGGCATTCAGGCATCTTGTCTAGCATGTGTTTATCAATATGAAAGGTATGCGAAGCCAAGTCAAGCTCAGTCAATTAGTTGTCTCTCACTTTGGACCCGAAGTTCTTGTACATAAATCCACGGGCTAGATGTGATTTGGGAAATGGTTGGCTGGCAATGGGAGACTAAGACCGAGCCACTTCAATCTAGCACACTCAATGACAGCTGCAGCTGCCTGTGTGAGCAAACTGTAGCCACATTATTTTCATTATGCCATTGTCTGCCTCCTTGGACCACACTTTTCGGGCCAGATGTAGAGTTGTAGACGGTTTGGCCACCTGACGGAGGAAACGGCTGGACAATATTTCTGCTGCCAGCAGACATTTGCATTTCATTTTTCGACAAGCAAAAATATTTTTACAACCAAATACACACACACACACTCACCCGAAGACAACAAACAAGGATCGGGGTCGCTTTTGGGGGGAAAGGGCGTTGCACAAATAGTTAGACGACTTCCCTTTGTCCTTTGTCTGTGACCCGGGGGCGCAGCCATCCGGCCACGCCCCCTTCTCCCTCGTGGAGATGCCCCCTATCCGTCTGCACTGGTCCATCTGTCATTTTAAGTGGCTTATTCATATGCAAGTGGCTTCCGGGGCTAAGCATATTCAAGTGTTTTAGTGGCTCGTGTACATGACCGAGCATTATCATTAAGTGCTTATAGGCAGGACTCGACCGAGGCCTCTTGGCCAATCCCACTCCCTCGTTGCGAGTGAACAATGACTGCTATTAACGCAAATTGATATGCCATGCCTCTGCCCACTCACTTTCCAGATCCAGGCACTTCCCCCCCGCTGACCTACACCTGTCAGGCGGGTTTAATGGCCACCGGAAGTTGCCGAAACCGTATTACGCATACGCACTGTCGCACTTGCCAAATGAAACCATAACTTTCGTTGCTCTCACATAGCCATAATCAATTAAATTTAATGTTTCTAGTTATGTATAAATCGAATTCAGTGTTTTCAGCTTGCCATTGCAGTGAGATTGTAGTAAATATCGTAATTTAAATTCAGTTTGCCTTTGCTTTTATGTTTTAAATTATAATTGAAACGAAATCATGGGTTGCAGTCTGCATTTACAGCAATTAGAGCAATACTGTAATATATATCGCAATTTAAATTCAATTTTAAAATGGTTTTAACATTTTAAAGTATTTTTGTAATAATTTAGTAGAAAGGTATTACTTTTATGTAGCACAAACCATATTGCTCATATGCAATAAAGCATGGAAACAGTAATTCCCTGATATTATGGCTGCATTTTATGTTTCCAGGCATATTTAAAATGAATGGTTTCTCTAAGGTATGTTATGAACACTCGAATTATAAGGAAAAATGGAAATAAAATTAACCATGCAATAAAATATCAGTCTTCAAATATTAATATACTTTCCAACATTTAATTTAATTCGTTCGTTAAATTATAAAGTATTTGTTTTAATGAGCTTTCACCTTCCATAGAGTACTCCACTCCGTTGCCGCTGCTATGAAGGCAACCTCCAGCAGCAGCTGCAGCAGTGCCGCCAGCAGCTGCAACCAACCGGAGCCGCTGGCGACTGGGATTGCGTCCAGTGGTCAGTCAGTCAGTGGAGGAAGTGGAGCCAGTGCAGCCAGTGGGGCCAGCACCTCGACGAAGCCGCACCGCCTCAACAAGGTGTCCTTCGCACCGCTGGACCTTCCGTTTCCCAGCGGAGCCACGTGATACGCGAATGCGAATGCGAGTGCCGGCACCACCATGCCGCACCACAACATCGTCTGCGAGTGGCTGCGCACCATCGGACTGGCCCACTACGGCGAGAGCTTCCTGGAGAACGGCTACGATGAGCTGGAAATCTGCAAGCAGATCGGGGAGATCGATCTGGACGCCATTGGGGTGGACAATCCCTCGCACCGGGGCAAGCTGCTGAAGAGTGTGCGCATGCTGCGGGAGAAGGGCGCCGCCATTGTCTATGTCCTGATCAACGATCCCAAGGCTCTGAGCAGCAGCAACGAGATCCTGGCCTCCGACTGTGATACGCCGGTGACCATGAAGGAGCTGGAGGCGGTCATGAAGCGCCACCTGGAGGCGGACGGCATCCGGCTCACCGCCCACCCGTACTCGACGCCGGTGAGTCCTTATTGCATATTTCCTTTTCAGAACTGCTAGAAATTTTGAAAAAATTCATTGGAGGTTCCACACAGACACTAAAGTCTTAAAATCCTTTTAAAATGTGAATATAGGTGTCTAAAAGTATGCAGTGAATAAAGAACAGTCGACGTTCTGAATGAATTTACCGTTTTTTGGATCTAAACTATTTTGTAGCATACTTTTAGACTGAATTCGCTGTTTTTCTTAGCCTAAAATATTTTGTTGCATACTTTTAGACACCCGAAAAAATATTTTTTAAAGTGATTTCTGTGGAACAACATATATTATATTTAATTTTGTTTATAAACCTTTTGTTTTTACCTTTAAGGCAATAGTTGCCAGTAGAAGCAGTGCAGGAAGCCGTTGGGGTACACATTTTCACTGCCGGAGCTCTGCCGACACACACAACTGGCGACCAGTGCTTTAAACAATACAGTTTTTCCTTTATAAATACTATTATTGGGTTGCCCTTAATGATTTTGTTAAGGTATCAGTCCTGCTTCGGCAAACTATTCCAACCAAGTGTGGCAAGCAACCAGCCAGCGATTGCTCTTATCTATGGTCATTTTGTTTAGGGCTATGGCAATTTGCATGCTTTCCTCTCAGGGGCGTGGCAAAGTGGGTTGCAGTGGGCGGGCCCAGGATGCAAATGCAACGTGTGACAGTCGTTCGGGGAACCAGTGCTGTGTGCGCTCTAATGTGAAATTAACACGATTTTAATTTAGTTAAACCGAGTGGCCAACCAGCGAAGTCCCGCTGGGTCACCTCAACATTCACCATGTCCACTTCGGACCATCCTGCTCCTGCTGTCCAGCTCGGTTCTGTACTGTTCTGTTTTGTTTATTTTATTATATGCATGTTGGTCCCCGGCCGGGAAATGATTTTGCATTGCGTTAATTTTGTTTATTTTGGCGCGTATTTTTTGGTCGCTGCTGCTGGCTTAGAGATAAAGCCCTGCATTGTGGTCACGCCGCGGGGAAATGGAATTGGGATGGGGAAAGGAGGCGCCATTAAATGATCGGCCGAAATTGCCGGGTCAGCAAATTGCAGGTTGTAGGATGACCAATTCTGTTGTATCTATAAATTTGGTAACACACATAGAGTGTGAAAAAAGTGGCTAAATTATGTTATACAATAAATATTCAGTTCCTACAAATAATATACTTTCTTAAGATAGTTTTTGAGAGGTCTGTCAGCAGAGGAAACTGTTTTGACAAAAACCTTTGAAAATAAATGTGTTGTATGATATTGAAAGCTTGAACTTTTGTCTTTGAAATTTAGTCAATACATTTTTGCTTTTTGAAAGACAGCAAAAATTGTTGTATGCCAAAAAAAGGTTTCAAGGCTGGACTTCTTTCCAAATCAATAAACACTCTCTTCAAAAAAACACAATAAAAATGTATGTTTTTTTGTGCTTCCAATCCAATTTTCAACTAGTTTTCTAGATTGCAGCACCACTGTAACCGTGTGAAAGAAGTGCATATTGAAAGGCATTTGGCAGCCTCGTTGGCTGTGATGACTTCTGGTGGCTTTGTCCACGCTTTGTTGACTGGCTGTTCATATCTGAAAACGTGTCACTGGTTCAGGGCCGCCTACGTTCCGCCAAAGAAATGCAATCCAATGCAATGCAAATAGATGCAAAGCCATCTCCATTTGAAGTTATTTCCATCGGTGAGCAGTGGAGGTGAATGTGCATATGTACTTCAGCCTCGGGGGGGGGGCGGGAAACTGTCAGTGGGCGTGGCAGGCGGCCTATTGAGCACGCATGGAGTGCTGACAGTTTGCCAGACACTCTTCAGATGCCGATGCAGCTGCTTAATATGCAGGCCACGATCCGCAGGCTTCCACTCCAGCTCCAGATTCTGATGCTGAATTTGTTAGTCAACTGAAAGAAATGAAACCAAAATAACATTTGTGGCCATATTGTTTATAAATAATAATAATATAACAGTTATAATAATAATATAGAAGCAGATAAAAAAAAGTGTAATATTATTGTTATGTATTTGAATATATAAATACTTTTTAAATCAAAATTAAAGAATACAGAAAAAGCAGTCAATTCTGAAAAAAATTGAACTGGTTTCTACTTAAGAAGTATTTTTAAGATACCGTTTTCGATCATAGAATATATGAAAAATTGGGTTTATCAAATTTGTAGTCCCATTTATAGGACTAAAAATTATAAAAAAATGTCTTTAATACCCAAAATTTATAAATAAGATGGAAATCTTTTATTGAGTAGCTGAGCATTGTTTCCTAAAAGATGGGTTGCATTTTCTCCTGTGCAATCCTACTTCAATTTCTGTCCCTGTCGAAAAGTGTTAGGACTACACCATGGGTATGTGTGAAAACTTTGTCATAGGCTGCCATCAAGATTTGCTGCTTTGCATTTTAATTAGCGCAAGCTGGCAGTTTTTTCTGTATAGTCCCCCCACAAGTTTATGGCTCAGTACTTGGCATAGTTTAAGCGCTAAAATGTGGTTAAATATTTACGATTGTTGTCTTTGTGGCGGAGCAAATTGAAATGCAACTTAAAGCCCGAAATGGAATTATAGCGAATGGCAGCGAAGAAAGGTGTCTGCAGAAAGCAGAGGGCGAGGGGAGCTAGAGGAGTTGGACAGGACTTGTTGGCTTTTGGCCCCCTCGACTCCCCATCGTCTGGGCCATGTTGACGCGCGGGCTCCAACTTCAACTAATTGCACTTTGCGCTGATGAGACAGACAGCCCTCTGGGTGAGTGGGTGATGGGAGGTGCTGGGGTGCTTGGCAGGCTATATATACTACTATATAGTATCTGTGTGTCTAACTGACTGACAGCTGCAGACAAGTTGCATTTCAGCACAAATGTTTGCATGTGCATTACATGAATGCGACGCTAAATGAATTTGCCAGGCTCGAGGGGTGGCGGCTTCGGTTCAGGTTTAGTTCTCTCGAGTTGAGGATGCAGGTGCAGACATAGCTATATAGACATGGACACACAGAAGATGCAGATACGGATGCGGATGCAGCGGGTGGCTGCAGATGGAGCTGCATAAAGGAGCAGGGCACGATGCTGCCGCTTCAGTGACCGCTTTGAATGTCAAACAGGGCACATTTAAGTGGCAGCCTCACGCTAATTACCGGAAGATATTAACACTTGTGCGCCTGCCCTGCTTGCTCCTTTTGACCCTGGCCTTAGGCGATTGCGGCTAAGACTTCTCGGGATCTTGGCCCTCTTCCCAAACTCCCTACTTTCCAGTGCACAGAGGGAAACATCGGCCCTTTAAATGACTTTAAAAAAGAATAAAATCAAATTAATACAATTGAACTGGAAAAGGTTCGTTCGAAATCCTAATATACAACACCATAGATTCGAAATATAAGTTCGACATGATTTTATACCATACAAAAGATATTGTTTTTTAAAGATTGATTATGTAAATAAATATATCTTTATTTATTAATTTTAAGGAATGTATTATTTATAAATAAAGTATCTTTTTCCGTTATTGTTTCATGGTAACTGAACTATTTTCTCGCCCTGCAGGAGGGCAAACGGGGCTACCTGGAGGGCCTGGCCGCCCACTACAGCAAGCAGATCAACATGCCATACGACGACGTGCTGGACGCCATCGAGCAGGTGCGCCTGTCCAAGTGGAAGGAGCGCCACGTGCGCATCTCCACGGGGCACACCCTCACCCGCCGGATGGCCGGGCCCAGCTGCAGCGGAACGGGCCTGGTCAGCTCCTCGGTGATGCCCACCAGCCACAGCCAGCCGCTCTATGTGCCCGGCAAGTACTTGGTAAGCAGATGCTCCTGGTTCGAACCCTGACTTTTACGGCCCGAGAGGCTTTTACGGCCTCCAGCTAATCAGACTCTAATTCATTTCCGTTCCGTTTCGTTTATTATGCACGCTCATGTGTGCCCTTTTATGTGTACTTGCACTGAGAGAAATTTATTGGTACAGTGGTTGGGGGGAGCCTTAAGTCAGAGATATATTTTATAGTGGTAGTAAGGTTTTTGCCATAACTCTGGGGTTGAGTTAGGCACGTTTTGAATTATAGTGCAGATTTTGTAAAAATACAATCATGTGTTTTATTATGCTAACATTCCTAAAGAAGAAAACGAAACTCATATTAGTTTCTTATGATATAAAAATAAGTTTAAGACTACAGGTATATTTTATTTTATTTAAAAATGTGTTTAAAAATATAGGGTTTATTAAAAGAAACTAGGTCAATTTCAACTTGCATATTTTAGATTACTATGTAAGGCTGTTATCTCAGCCGGTTGATCTTTCCTTTTATAGTTTTACTTAGATAGATGGTTTCAAAATTACCATCGATAAAATAGGTTAGTCCGGATGAACTCCTTAACTTCTTACTTTTTTATTCATTATATGTTAATCTGTAATCTTTTTGTAAACCATACTTAAATGAAATTTCCCGTGCATGTGCAGCCCTCCAGCTGCCTGTCGAATCGCGAGGAGAACGAGATCTACAGCTATACGCAGAATGACTTGGCCAATCGCATGGCCCGGAATGCCATCGACTCCAAGTCGGCCCTGAATCTGAACGGGATGCAGCACAGCTATCCTGGAGCACGGACCAATTTCTTTTACGACTTTTCGGCAACAGGTGAGGAGCGACTAAATCTGCAAAGGGGGCTCTCGGTTTGCGGTTAGAGACAGTTTGGCGGCTGTTTGGTTTTTATGGCTTTTAATTCAATTAAATTGGTTTGCGCTTAAACTTTGACTGTCTGGTTAATCAAATGAATGTCTGTTTGATTCTCGGTTTGTTTGTTCGCCTCACTGCCTCGCATTTGGATCTGGATGGGAATTGGATGGGTTAGAGGGTCGCAACAAGCACAAGCAGAGGAGAACGGTCTTCGCCAGGTTTTTGCAGGGCCTTCGGCAGAGTGGAGACGAACTGAACGCCACGGAGGGAATGCAGCTGAAGGTGAGTTTGGAGGTCACAAATGGGGTGCCACTTAAAAGGCAGGTAAACCTTTTATTTGGGGACAATTCCGTGTGTGATTTTGTCATTTCCGGTTTGTAAGCCATTTTTATTGCCTGCTTTTAGGCTTGCCTTCGTATGTTTGCGGTGATAAAAACGTAAGAAAAGTTTTAGAAAATGGAAGAGCAAAGAGAAATAGAAAAATAAAACAAATAAATTAGGGGAAATTCCAAAAGTTAAAACAAAGAATTCTTTAATGGAATATTTTTAGAGGGCTACTTTTTCTTGTAATTAAAATTGATTTAAAAATATTATGAAATGGAATAAAATATATATATACATAAAATTAAAATTATTTGGTGTGACAGATGGTTCTTTTTATGACAAAACTAAAAAGGTGCCTCAATAAAATATTTAAACATTAGTTTTCATCCGACACTTCTGTTCGGCGCCATATAGACAGTGACATTTTCATTAGTTGAGCATTTCACACCCCCTAAGCTGCTCCAGAATTATGAAAATGGAAAGAGTTTTCGCATTTCGGTCGCAGTTTAATTCCCGGCTCCTTAATTCAGGACCGGGCAGCATCCCCGCCTCCGCTTCCTATCTCTCTGGAAAGCCATGAAAAGTTCCATAATTTGGAGCCAACTTCAAAGCATTTCCTTGCCGCATTCAAAACAAAAACTTTTCCAAGCCCCGCGCCCAACCATCCGCTGCTACTCTGTTTAATGTCGAATTTTTGCCATGGACAAGTTCGCCGCTTTTGAGGGGGGGCGGAGCACTGGGACTACTTATAAAATTAAATTAAAATATAAAAACCGCGTAAACCTACAAATAACAACGATGGCCGCAGCAACAACAACAATAGCAGCAATAACTAGGAAAGTTCGCGTTCTGGGAAAATGGAGGGGGCGGGTCGGAAAAACCCGGGGGCGGTGGAAAACTTTATCAAGGCTAAGCCGATAAAAGGCAATTACCGTTAATTGCGTTGACTTGCGCCGGGCGAGTGGTCGAGACCAGACAATGACAACACGGCCGGAGCAAAAAGAGCAGGGCGGCAGTGGGTTTGGTGATCTCGGGGTCAGGGGACACGGGGACAAAGGACAGGGCAGCGCGGCAAGGACATGTGCCGGATGCAAATGGCAGACTCAGAGATATGAACTGCCAATGAGGGCGGGGGTCCTGCAAGTGCAAGTGCCAGATACAGATGGACATCCAGAGCAGGATGCGGAATGTACTTAGAAAAAAGAAGAGAATTATCTATTAGAGTGACTTCTAATGAAGATAATAGATACAAATCTGAGCTTTGTTGTAATTATGGTTCGGTAAATTAGAAATTACTTCCAATGTAGATATTAAGGTACAAAATCTGAGATTTGTTATATTTATGGTTTGGTAAATTGTAAATTACATCTAATGAAGATAATGATATCTGAGCTTTATTGTATTTATGGTTTGGTAAAATATAAATTCCAAGAAATTTCTTCTGAAAAATTGGATGGCCGATCCCTCCCTGTAACTCAAATTTTGAACTATCTAGCCCTGAAAATATATTTTATATTAGTTAAAGTAAGGAGGAGGTATAGCTAATTTTATAAAATGTTTATAATTTTAATTAACTTATTTTTGAAAAAGCAGGAGAATATATAATATTAAGACTAAGGAACTAGAGGCGATTTATCGGAGTATTAAAATAAGGTTTTTTTAGTAATACCTATATCTTCAGAGTGGTTTTTCCAAGTGCATTGGTGTATTAGTTTTAGTTTTTTTTAGCAATAGCCTTCTATTCAGGATCGTTTTTGCAAGTGCATCGAATACTGGCATCGCAAAGGACAAAAACAGGGACGAGAGCGCCAATCGCATTGTCGGGGGCGTTGTCAAGGACCTGAGGAGCACGTTCCTGGAACTCCACGTTACCTGGTCATTTGCACCTTGGCGGGTTTCGGCTTTGCTGCGGTTGTTATGCCGGATGTGAAATAAGGGACGTGGGTGGGGACCGGGGTGAACCCCCTACACACGATTGTCCTTTTTCCATTCGCATTTGTTTTTATTATTTCAGGCGTGCCAAAGTGTTTTGTTTTGTGTGTCCTCGCCGTGCACTTTTCCATTTCCACCCAATTCCCTTTTTTTTTTGGTTACTTCTGTGTCTTTTTATTTCGGTTTTTCCGTATTTTTCGGGGTCCTCCGGTCCAGAGAGAGTTTATAACTTTTCGTGTTTTACGGTTGTTGTTCGGTTTTTCTTTTGTGTGTGTGCCCGCTCCTTCGCCGGCTGTTCATTTAATATTTAAGCACAATTTGCCGCCGCCGAGGACGAGGACAAGGACCACGGCTGCAGATTGTCCACTCCGGTTCTCCACCGACTTTTGCGGTCAATTTTGAAAATGACTTGGGCTAAGCACTGGCGACAATTGTGCTCCGTGTTCCGTGCTCCGTGTTCGGGACAACTTCTTTTGTCCTCTGGCACTCATTACCTTTCTTTGGCCACAGCTCGTGATTCTCCCTGGCTGTGCTTTCTGCCCCGGTCAAAGGTCACCCGGCGAGCGTGTGTCCCAGCAGCTCCACCGAACGACAGCAGTGGCACTCATTATGCGGTCTGTTGCGGAAATGCTGCTCCGGGGACAGAAACATCCAGCGCTGGCCTTTCATTACACTTTCTCGGGTCGCGGCTGCCCGCCGCTTTTCATTTGACATTTCCATTTGAAGTTCTGGCTGTGGTTGTTTTAAGGTGTCGATTTGTTGGGTCTGGCTCCAGTTAATGAAGTAATCATGGGTGGGCCCCTAACTAGGAGGAATAACAGACGGGAGAAGTATAATTTATTTTACCTTGTAGGAAAAATACTAACAGCTAAGGTAACAGGTGCAAATTAATTAATACAAATAAGGAACATTTGTTTAAATATAAAATACTTTGACAATAATAGATTATAATATATATTAAATAAATAGAATATTAACTTAGAACATTTTTAACTAGAATTATATGTCGACACTATATCCTTTGCAGACCAACGAACGTCTGAGAAATTGCAGCACGATGAAGCGACCCGAGCCTCACCAGGACTTTGAAAAGACGATACAGAGAGTAAATATTAGACTCCTAAGTTCTAGAAATATACACTAACAAACCCTAATTAATACTTCCAGCTAAAGACACAAAAGGCGGCCCAAAAGAAGCCGGCCAGCGCCCCCCTGGAAATGGCCATCCACGAGCGGAACAAGGAGGTGGCCCACACCCATGTAAACGAGATACCGCTCAATAATTATACGAAGCATCCCTAGGATTCGGCCCTAAGCAGCGCAGCTGCTTAATGCCCACATTCAGGATAACCGGCAATCACAAACAAAAAACAAAACACACACTCACTTATATAAATTGTTGAATCAATCATTGTTCTCAATCAGGTGATACACAATCTTAAGAAAGACAGAATCATAATCTAAAGGATGAGGCTAAATAGAAATGGTAATATAGCAGGCCAACGAAGCAATATCAGTGCACTCATAACTTAAAAATAGGAAGAGAAATAGCCATAGGGATAATATCTGCAAGTGTTGAGTTAAACTTACCCATAGGACTAATTGACGGACCCAACCTGATCAGCACCCGCACCCACTGTATAGTCACCTGACCATTAATGAACAGTAAGCCTAGTCTAAGCAGCACTTCACCTACCCTTTCATCACTACTGCATACTGCACGGAGAAAAAATCGAAATCGAACAAAGGAAAAACTATTAAATCATTTTAATGTTCTTTTAAATTTTAAAATTATTATTTCCTATCAATTTTGTTAAAATAATCGAAGAGGACAAAGAAATGAACAAATTTGTTGAATCCAGTTAGAGGTGTTTAAAAGTATGCAACAATTTATTATAAATGGATGGATTCATTTTATAAGACTACAATCTATTTTTACTGCATACTTATAGACACTAAAGATTTAGATTGAATACTTAAATGCATAGAGATTCAAAAGCAATAACCCTTAAACCATCCTTAGATTGAAATGACAATTGGAGCCTAAAAGTTCCCTTGAAAAGAACACCTCCAACTTTGGCGATTATTTTTCTCTGTGTGCGTACTCCCACCCAACCAGAATCAATCTCGAAATGCTCTTGCCCCGAAGTCTATCGGCAATTATTTGAACACCCCGAGAAAGCCGCCGCAGCAGCAGTCTGCGAATGCATCGACAACTGGCCGGGGGAATGTTGACAAAACGCAAAAATCCAACAAGCTTAACGCTAAATCAACACGCACACTCGCACACTCGCACACCGGCACACACACACACGCAGATGCCGACTGGCAAACTTGTCCTAACCGCAGACGTTGCACAGACACACGGACACACACACAGAGGGACGGACGGATACGGATGCGGATGCGGATTCGGCTCTGGCATTTCCGTTTCAACTTGGCACTGCATCGATTTTGGTCTTTGGTTTTTCGAGCTGCAGCTGCAGGCTCAATGGAACGGGTCGAAACGGGCAGAAACGAAGCGAAACCAACCTGAAGCCGAAATGGACGAAATGGCCGCTCTGCCATTTGCCTTTTTTGCATTTTAATTGCATGTTGCGCCCGAAAGTATGCAACTTGTCCAGCTCGAGCCTGTACGTGTGCGATTGTCTCTCTTTCTTGCCGTGTGTGTGTGTTGGTAGAGCACTATAGTGATGGGAGGTCCTTATAGCACATAGCACTTATTTTCGTCCTCTTTTGCTTAACAAAGTACCAGAAATCTGGTGAATTAACGTTCATACACATATTTATAGTAATAATTAACAGTGAAATAGTATTTTTTTGTCCTAATACACCCAAACAAAGAAAATACCTGAAATATTGTAAGAACTACGTAAATTAAAGGAATATTGACCTACAAGATGAGCAGACATATTTGTCTGTTGTAGAAAAAATTACCTTAAAAATACTTCAACTGAATCAAGGCATTACTTCAAAAAATGTACAGCTTAACTTACTTTTTAGGACAGTTTTCCAGAACTATATATGGTAAGCTCACCTTTTAGGTTACGATTCTATTATAATTTCCCTTATCATTGAAACCGTTTAAGGGTATTAGTTTTTGGGGTGTAATTTAGTGTTTAGTTTTTATTTTAATAATTTTAAATCTACCTTTCTCATTTTACAATTTCAATTTAACCTTTTATAATAGCTACGTTAACTAGCATAAATACCTTGACATATTGTTTTTCAACATATCTTCTTCCTCTTTGAGGTACACCAGGATGGTCCTTTTCCCATCACTATTTTGTGACAGAGAATGCGATTTGCATTTTTGAGCCAGGCAAAGGCATTTGAAATTCGTTTTTAATTTTGTTTGCTCTCTAGCCGAAAGGCATCAAAATGGTCGATGGCCATTTGCTCGCGGTTGTCTTTGTTATACCAACCCACCATCCCCACCCCCATTCCAATTCCAATTCCCATTGCAAAACCCCCTTGCCACACCCCCAAAAAGCTAGGGAGACATCCGGGAAAGTTCTGGCCATTTCGGTGCTGCAGCTGCGTTTATTATTAAATGTCTGCGGCGCCGCGTTGAGCTGCCAGAAAATTGAAACATTTAGCGGCTACGTGAGTGCGTTTGCCAAGGGATCTGCGGCCATTGGGAGGCCCGTTTCCGGTTCCGCCTGTCGCCGAAAGTGCAATTAGCTTAAGCACTTGCCCCAGCCAGCAGACAAAGTACCCAAAGTTTTCCGGCTTTCCAGCCAGGGCGGCCATTTAATATTTCTTTTTTATTCGATTGCCTTCTCGCGTGTGTTAACGTGCAATTAACCCTGTCAGGCCTCGATGATCATTTTATTTAAATTTAATTAAATGCAGCAAGTACAGCCAACCAGCAACCAGCAACCAGCAATAGTGAAAATAGTATAGACAAACAAACAAACAAAATGCAAACAGTGAAAAAAGGTGAAATTAAATATAGGCAAAGTGAAAACAAAGCAACAAACTCTGAGCGGGCAGTCGAGTGTAAAATTGTGCGCCAGTTTAATATACATATAATTGTTTAACTACCAATACATAGGCATACATATACATACAATACATATAGCGTACCCATACAGCAGCACAGCAGTCAGTTAAATGGCCAAATACAATGAGAGCAATCGGCTGAAATTTACCAGCGACAGCAATTAAAGCGTAAACTGTAAAATACAAAGTCAAATTCAGCCTGGCATGCTAGCTTTAATTTGGATAAAAACAAATAATAAATAATAAAAATTGATTGAGCAGTGCACTCACCATAATGATAATAGCCATAGCATTTACTGCCAATCAAGCGAGAGGCATTTCGATATTGATCCCAGCCTGAGCTCTGGGTGTCCAGGACAATTAATTTATGCGTAAGCCCAATCATAATTTAAATGAGGACCCCTGGAGTGGGCCATAAATCAATGGGCCGACTTAGTGACCCAATTTCGGGGAGGGGGTATGGGGATTCCGCTGCCAAATCAAGCAGCTGACAGCTTTTACTTGGCCAACAAATCACAATAAACAAAGGAAGAGAGCAGAGGTATGCCGATCTCCGGATTCCCAGGCTCTCGGCAATTAGGCTTACAGATATTTATATTTATTAATTTATTATGGATATTGATGACCAATGGTCCACATACAAATATACATCAGCAAATATACATATATATATAGATACATTTAGCCACATACGAATATTTACAATAAAAGTTGATGGTCAGCCATCGACAAATTTCAATTTACATACGTAAGTGTTTAAGCAAAATGCCAAAGCATTTCAAATGCAAATGGAACAGAAACAGAATCTGAAACGACAAAAAGTACGCAAATTGATTGCCCAAATAAATAAATAAATAATATTTATGAAAATAGAGCACGCGTGAAAGCGTGTCAGAATTACCCATATAAACATAGTGAATATATTTACACACATTTGTATAGTTATATGTATACACCCCTAGAATATAAAATGTTTAAAACAAATATTTAGTGAGCGTATGCCCCAAATGTTTTGCAATTGTAATCAAAACATAAAAAAATTGGCACAGCAGTCGCAAAAAAGAGTGTAGCAAAATTTGCATACGTTATATGGAAAAATAAAATATTTTTAAAGTTCAGTTCGCATAGAAATAAAGAGTTTTCCCGAAATGTACAGCAAATTGCAGTTTTACTGGATGGGTGGTTGAGCTGCCAGCAGCTAATTTACCTTTCCTTTTTGTGCCTTCTTAAATGAAATTATTTTTATGACCAACTCTGGTCAACTTTTTAATCTGATATGTGTCGCTCAAATTATATTTATAGATCTGATTCAAAAAAATCCATTTAGGCTTGAATGCAATTTTTTAAGAATTTTATTACCAGTTTAACCAGGTTTAAAATTAAATTTAGTTTTTAGTCAAATCTACGATTAGAAATTGTTATAAAACACATAAATGTTTCAATGACAAAGTCGAAATAGTGCCTTTTTAAATTGATAAGTTTATAAAGTTAAAAAAAAATTGTGCATTCAATTATTTTTACGAGGCTGTTTAAAGGACCAAAATTGTCTGTTGGGCTGGGAATTCCAGGTGTTGGTTTCCATCAATGTCGCTGTCTTTTCACGTGCTCCTCCGTATCTTCAAGTTGCCGCTGGCGGATGATTGATGATTGCCCTAACGCTTCCTGCGAGCTGAGATTGCCCCAAACCCCACCATGCTCCTTTTGGGAAAATCACAGGAAGCGAAGTAAGTCGTAGGGGTTACAAATAGTGGCTGAATATATCAGCGAGTTGAGAGGACTGGAGCTTTAAACAGATCTCATTGGTGTCTGAGAACTGAGATAAATTAGGGGAAACACGAGATGGCGTATCAGTTAATGATAGTAAGTACCCACAAAGTTCCATAAAGATGTTTTATTCCGGAAGATAATGAAAAGAGGCACTTGATGAAGTAATTTCTTTAACTGCCTAGATTAAATATTATTGTTTTACTGCCAGCAAGACGTTAAAGTAGAATACACAATTATATTCCAGGCAGTTTATATAATATCATTTTTAGTTTTATTAAAACATACGTTTAGATTAATCGTATAGTATATTGATATTCAAATAAATCGTAGACCGTATATATTTCTCCTATTCTTAAACTCATCAATTATTTTGTTGTCTTTAAATATATATGTGCAAATTCCCACAGCACAAATCAGACTGCATAGTTTGCAGATCCATCCATATCCTATTAAAACAAATAAAAGCAATTTGTGTGTAAGCTAAGGGTAAAGAGATGTATGGGTACAAAAAAAAGGAAATGCAATGGCAGGTTTCTACTCGAATATTCCCAAACAAATATGCAGGGCCTCCTCCAATCCCAATCCCGTTTCCAATCCCTATCCCAATCCCGATCCCAACCCATCATCCCCACATTATTCGAACCTCGAACGTGTCATTGTAAGTTCAAGTGTAGCCAAGAGTGGTGAAGTCGGGAGCAGGAGCAGCCAGGAGTTCTCCAGCTGACTCCGCTGGATGATGATGATTGTTGGCGTCGCCAGGAGGATGAAAGTCGGAGTTGGAGTCGGGGATTTCCCCGAGCCTGGGACTTTTCGGGCCTCGTCCGATGATTGCGATGGGCACAAAAGCCAGCGGCTCATGAAAAATGCATGTGACTCGGCTGGCTCATATGTTTTATGGCTTGTTGAATTCCTCCGCCCCTCTGTTGTAGTTCAAGTTGTAGTCAAAGTCGCATCGCATCACTGCCATCGC